AAAAGCATTTCACTGGAAATTAAAATGCAAGTGATTAGAAGATTAGATTCCGGTGAACGTCAATCTCAAATTAGTGCTGCATTGAATTTGGCAACTTCAACAATAAGGGACAATTCTTAAGAATAAAAAAAAATACTGTAATCGGCAACTGCAACTACGTCAAGCTCTGCAACTAGAATTACCTGTTCTAGAAATAACATTATAGAGGAAATGAAAAAACAACTGTCTATATGGATTGGCGACGAAATTGAACGCAATATGCCATTCAGCCAATCTATCATAATGCCTTCTTGACAAAAAGGCAGAAAATTGGAAACACAGAATAGACTGAATGATCTGACTGAGAATTTTATGTTTTTATAAGTATATTCATTTATATTGTTTTTATTTTTGTAAGAAATAAATGTTTGGTTTTATTTTTATTTTAAAAAATATTAAATTTAATACGTAACCGATTTCCTATCCATCTTCCCCTAACCCCATTATTTACATGTTAAGATAGCCTCGTTTAGCGCTGTTTCGCATTACGCTCTACTTTGATGGAACGTATCCCCCGCGTTAAGCGGGGTCTTACTGTATCTCCAACGGGCGACACTGTCTATCAGAAATTCTAAAGGCATGCTGTTTTTAAATATTTTGCGATATTGCTGTTGAATTGAATTTTATGTGGTTTAAGTTCGAAGAATATGGTGTTTAATAAATAAAAGTAACACACAAATAGCCCCTTTGGGCGTAATATAAAATGTGGACGCATTCAGATTTTCTTTTTTATTATTAAATACTTTCGCCCCTCCTTTTTTTTTTTTTTTTTTTTTTTTTGATTTAAACGAGATTTCAACTATAAGGGCTTGCTGGCTGTAACGTGCAATTTTAAATTGGAAATTAAAATTAGATTGCTCTAGAAAAAGGGTGAACTGCACTTCTCTCAAAATGAATGCTTTAATTTCTTGTTTTGCAATATTATATCAAATGAAAGTAACTTGTTCTGTATTCTTTTGAACACCAGCCTGAAGTATTAAAATAGCGTTACTTCAAGATTTTTTTCATTCAAATTTTTGAGAATTTTAAATAAGAAAAGCAAGAAATGTTTAATCATGGTTCTTTAACTGCAGCGCAAATATCGCTGCAGGTATTAATTTAATAACAGAAGTCTGCATCCATATAAATATTAATTCTTAATTTGCAACATTAAACACTGCAGTTTGAAGTTAAACTGCTTGCAACAATTTAAAAAGACATTTCAATATGAAGTACAAAATTTTTCCTTCAAAAAATCGGATATTAAAAAAAAAAAAAAAAATGTAAAATACGATGCAATAAAATTCGTAGAAACAATTTGCGTATCGATAAAACAAGATTTTGCTCAAACAGAAAGTATAATCGAAGAGACTAATGTCATACAATAAAGTAAACAGCAGATTCGATAAATTTGCCATTACAACAGCTTTCAAGCAATAGATTAAAATTTCATATGGAACATTAATACTATCTATCATATTTCCGTCATTTTTACGTTTGTATGCTGGTGATTTGTATGTATGTATGTGTTATTAGTCCAAAAGGGGCAATTTGCAATGAAGGACTATTAATTTCGTTTGGGCATTTTACGTTGAAAACTATGAATAGCGAATCACTTTTCAAATTGTTGTCACCAAATATTAGAGCCCTGTATTATATTTAAAAGAAATCAAATAATGAAGAATCTGCATAAATGTATCTATGTTTCTCGCATTGTGATAAAATGACGGTATCTACAGCCATCAAAAATTGAATAATGTAATCTTCCTTAGAATATGGGCATGAGGAAGCCCTAATTTAGAATTTGGAATTTGTTTTATTATTGATTTCAAATTTTGTAAAACTTCAACGAATTTTTGATTAACAAACTAAACGATTTCAAAGATTTCAAAGATTTTCAAATGGCAACACTGCACGAAATTGTTTTTTTATCTGCAGTGCAGGAGACTCTGTATCAGAAATTCTAAAAGATATCTCATTTTAAAATTATTTTGCAATATTGCTGTTGAACTGAATTTTTATGGTTTAAATATGTAAAACATGGTATTTATAAATAAAGGTAACACACAAAAAGTTAAAAAAAGTTTTCTCATTATTCTTTGGTTATCAAATTAACGCCAGAACAAAATAATACTATTTCACTGTACTTGATAAAATTTTATAAACACTTGCCGTTTCATAGGAACATTAAATATTTGCATAAAATGTTTTACTTAACTCTTTAATTTTTCTTATAATAATGAAAATTTAATAAAATATTAATAAGGCACGAAAATTGATGTAAAAATTTAGTTTGAATAGTGCTAAGTATGAATTTAATTAAATATTCAATGCTCATCTAATTGTAGATGTTTCATCCTTGAATATTTTGCAAATGTTTTATCATTTTATTCTTATTTGCATTTCGTGATTATAAAAATTTAAAACATTTACAAAAATAAATGTTTTTGAGTTTGGCATTGATAATATAGACACAACTTAATACGGCATTACTTCAAATATGCTAACAAACTGGAAACACAGAGTATCTAGACATTCAGTATGTTAAGCACTTTTTCCACAAAATTAGCCAATGAAATTAGTTCAACTAAAATACAGCAATGGAATATATTTTGTTTACACAGGCCGTTAAAATGAGCACATAATCATGTTTATACTTTATTGTATTAAAAAAATTAAATCATTCTTTAAAAATTTAAAAATTATTTTTTATTTTGCTTAAAACAAAACACATAACGTATTCATAATCAGCTGAAATTAAACTAGATATTACTTTTTTATTGATTTAAAGTAATAAAAGAGTAAAATTATATTATTATTTATTAAAATTTTAATATTTTTAACAAATATTATTAAAATAATTTTTATTATAATTATTATTTAAATAAATATTGTAGGCCTATATGCAGTGCATAACTGCTTTTCCATTTATTTTTATACAGTATCACAAATCATATTAAAGGTAGCATATGTTTATCTAAATTAATTTAATACTTTTTCAAAACATTAATTTAGCATTTAATTTAATTTTTCTTTTATGTTATTTCGAAGTGAACGAAAAAAGTAACAGCAAGTTGGAATTTACTTGACCTAAAAGAACAATAAGAATTCGAATGACTGGAGTCACAGATATCCAGAAGACGGTTGCTTGAAGTCTTGCTGTGAAGTAAATAATGCTTCTCTATTGCTTTCAAATAATTTTACTTGTTCGAAAATTAAATATTTTCAAATTTCAATTAAAAATTTGAAATTTTACTTATTTTACTTATCAACATAGGATGGAAAGTTAGCATTTTTATTACATATTCTGTATTTCTTAGATCTCTTCTTAGATATTTTTTGAAATATATAAATAGCTATTTCTCAGAAAAAAAATAAAAAATTTGAATTCTCTTTCAAATTTTTGATGAATCAAAGATAATGATAAAAAAAAGCTGTTGAATATACTGCAGTTTAGGAACACTTTAATATGCATTTAAGAAAAGATAATAATATACAGGATAAATTTTAAACATATAAACGAGAGGTATTAGTTAACATTTGCTATATATAGATATAAAAACATAAATCGTTAATTAGAAATTTTTTAAGGCAAAATGCATCTATTCTAATATAAGAACACTGAAAAATACGCTAATATTTTAACATCATTATCAAAGAACATCAATAGATAATAGACTTTTTATGCATTAACTATGTAATATTTACAATTCATTTTATTTATAATGGAAGACATTAACATACACTTATGTGTTTGCTCATTAATTTGACGACGGAAAATCCATTCACAGTTAATTGACAGCAGTTATAAGATAGGAATATTATAAATATCTTTTAAAACTTGTGTGAACTATACTCAAACAACTCTAAAAAATTTAATGCCTATGCTTTCATTTGTTACTGTGAAGATATGTTTATTAGATAAATTTTCCAAATAAATGATGATAAACTTTCCAAAACGGTGAAGTAATTGAAATCATATTCAATTACATACTTAATTTAGACTTTTTAAATCAGTGTCTGTTTATTAAAAAAATAATTTAGCTACTTGAAGTGAAATAAACATTGTCTTCTAATATCTAGGCATGCGGAAAACGTATTTAAGAGTATCGCAAATAAGCTTTTCTTATGTTCACACATTATTACACAACTACTCACGCTATATTACTAGACGAATATTGAGTCACAGTTTGCTATTCGCTAAACAATGAAAATGGTTTCCTATTTTTTAAAATTTTAAGATTCAAAATATCTTAGTTTTCCCAAATTCTCAGAAAATTAATTCAATTAGCTGCCTTATAGTGTTCCAAATAATTTTTAATTCCATCGAATATATAATACATGCATACATATATCAAAACGAAGTTAAGCTGAAAAGTGTATGTACTGACATACTGAAGTACAAAAATGGCTGAAATGAAAACATAAAAGGCTTTAAAAATTTTTGCATTGAATCAAGTAAAATTTATTAGTTAGAGAATATTTTCGTAGTAAGTTCATGCAAAAAAAAAAAAAAAAAAAAAATTAGATTTGTATAATACATTATGACATTCTAGTGCAGTGTAAGAATTGAACATAATTTTCCTATTTAATTCCATACATCATTTGCACTTTATTGGATTAATATGAGCATTTGTCATTCCAAAACCAGTATAACAATTAAATAAATGGGAATTTTAGTAAAAGTATTTAAAATCTAAATTTAACAATACATACTTATTACATTTATGCACTTTATTCTGTGCACGCAGGTAGCATACAAAATTATGCGAACTGGTTGTGAGCATTTTATTGGTCATGTAGATAATTTGCAAAAAGATTTTAGTTTCGTTTATTTGATTACGACAAAGCGCTCGAGGGCTATTTGCCGAAGAAGAGGGATGCTTTCGTGTAGGAATTTTGAAGGGAAACTGGCTCGTATACAGGTGGAGAAAACCACAAAAACACAGCCCGTTTGCGGGATTTGAGCCTCGGGCCGAACTGCCAGTGTTCAGCGAATTTACCGCTCGGTTGCCGCTGGTGGGATAGTTACGAAAAGAAAAAAAGCATGTAAAAAGTAAAATCATTCTTTCGAGCAAAGCATGCTTAAAAGTTGAAAAGTGTACTTAAAGATTTTTCACAGAAGAAAACGCTTGCAGCATTTGCTTCAGTATAATGCGAGTTGTAAATATATGCAAGAATTTACAGATATATGTCACATAAAATGTGAATTTTTCTCTTTTTTAGAGTAGAGAAAAACACCGATAAATATCAATGAAAATGTACATGAAGGAAAATAACAAAAAAAACATAAATGAATGGCTTTGGAATGACGCTGTCCTTATATAAAGGGGCAATAAGATATTTAGCATAGCTTTGTACAAAAATAAATTAATATAAATTTTAGGTTTGTCTTATTCTATAGAAAAATCAGTTAAAAGATAGCATGTTAAAACAAAAAAACTTTAGTGGGAATAAGGAAAATAATTGAAAGCTTTTCTTATTTAAGAGAAAAATAATAATTAAAAATAAATAAAATTTAGAGAAATTTTCGCAGTTGAATATTTACTGAATAACTTTAACCATTTTAAAAATACGCATAACGATAAAAACAAATCAAATTGCATTACTTTTTCTATTATTTAAAAATATCAGCGACATTAGGAAAAGAAAGTATTTTCTTTGCAGTAGCAAAACATTGTCATTGTATCAAAAGTATGAAAATGATGGGGCAAAAATGAAGTTAAAGAATTCGAAGTTTATTTCTTGTTAGTATGCATGTAATTATATATATAGAGAGAGAGACTGTTCCACACATTTCTTGCGTTTATAGTGCTATTTTATGCCATTTTGCAAAATACTTAAAAGGCACTCGAACATGAAAGACTCTTAAAACAGCTGTTTTGCTCTCTGTCTTAATCAAGAGGAATTTCATTATACTTATCAAGATGAATAACATAAAAGTGAAGGTATTTTAATATACTGCTATCTTTGCTTCGTTAGCTAAGCAAACTTATATGATCAAAAATAGAAGAAGTATTAAAAAATAGTTTTTTTTAACTGCAAGTCTTTGCAAATTATACTTAACTATGTAACATGTAATAAATGGAAGTATTACGTTTATTTTAGTCTAAAAATATTTTAAGTTAAATATTTCTTCCTCACTGATAGTATTGAGTTGGCAAGAAAGCTAATTTTGGTTTGCACAAATTGATAGCGCTATATTCGTTTCGTTATTCTTCTGACAATTTTTTTCCCTTTTTGTGATTTGGCAATTGACACTTTTAGGTTGCTACAGGAACAAATTCCATGCACTTTTTGTTTGCAACTGTTCGTTTACAGCCAATTTTAACACCGGGTGCAAAAATAAACATTTTCGACTTATTTTACATTTTTATTTTTATTAAGGCAAGAAAGTGGCTTAGGCTCAAAAAGAGATATGAAGTTTATGGTATTGATTGCTTAGCGAAGCGCATATACCAGAACTGTTTTAAAACATTTCGTTCTAGAGATCTTTCACTTGAAGGCGACCAATGTTCTGGCTGACCTTCTGATGGTGAAGACGACAAAATTAAAACCATAATTGAATCGCATAGTCATATAGCTGTGAGAGAGATTACGAAAAGAGTATGTATCACACACAGCAATTGAAAATGATATGAGATGTATTGGACTCGTCAAGAAACTCGATATTTGGGTTCCACATGAATTGAAAGGAATTCACTTAACGAATCAATATTTGTGATTTTCTTTTCAAACATAATGCAGTCGATCCTTTTCTTTTTAAACGAATTATCACTAACGATGAAAACTGGATCGTCTACAATAACATTAATCCAAAAAGATAGTGGTTTAAGCATGATAAATCAGCACAAATCGTAACGAGAGCTAAATTGCACCAGAAAAAGATCATGATATCAGTTTGGTTGGATTACAAAGATGTATACATTAAGCTGCTTTCAAGCAACCAAACGATCGCTCCGTTTGTTTTCCGCCAACAACTTATGAAGTTGGAGGAAGCAATCAAAGAGAAAAAGCCAGAATTGGAAAATCGCAAAGGAATCGTGTTCCACCAAGACAAATGCGAGGCTTCTCACATCTTTAGCAACATGTACGAAATTATTAGAGCTTGGTTGGTAAGTGATGTCGCCTTCCTCATATAGCCCCGGACTTTGCGGTATCGGGTTATCATTTATTTCGAAGTTTACAAAACTTCTTAAAGGACAAAAATTTGAGCAACAGCGATGACCACAAATTGCTTATGGTTGAGTTTTTTTACTGATAAAGACCAGAAGTTCTATGTGAGCAGAATCAAGAAGTTACCAGAAAAATGGCAAAGGGTCACCGAACAGAATGGAAGATACATGACAGATTAAAGTTAATTTTTTGCACAGAAAAAAATTAAGTTTTATTTCCCACTAAAAAACCGAAATTACTTTCTAATCAACCAAATAAATTCCTTTATTAAAGCTAAAGAATAATACTGATTAAAACAAACTGGTGATGATTAAATTTTAGAATGTTATTTGATGTTATTTTTCTATACTGCCACTGTTAAATGCAATTTTGTCATAAATATATTTATTTGCGTTTTTATTTGTAGCTTTGTAATGGAGTATTCAGTATTAAAAAAGGTTTGCAAATTTTGATTCAGCAATATTGATCTTATTTTTCGTTATGAGTTGAAATTAAGTAAATATGAGTAAGATACATAATTTTGAACCTCAAATACTTCTACAAGAATATTTAAAAAGTACGGTTCAACATTTCATTTCCCGACACATTTTTTTCAAATTTAGAAGTAATTTGTATACTTCAGAATATCTTCTTTGCTTTAATTTAAACTACGAAATCGCTTACACAGATTCCACTAACTAGCAATTATATTCCTGAATTTCAAAACTTTTATAAGTACGGACATGGTTTTCATATGCCTTTGCTTACAAGTCAGCAGCGTATTCAAGAGAAGTGATAACATAGATTTTTCTCTCGCTACTAGATATGGCACAATGATTAAACAAAATCCCTGAAGAACACGACACATGACACATAGTATGATAATAAAATATAACATACTTATCTATCACAGGTTAATAACAGACGGATATATTCGATAAGATAGAAAAGATACTTGTCACAAGAAGTACACTTTAAGAACACCCATTAAATCACATCCATAAATAGAATTATAATGACTCAAGACAAAGAAGAAAGAATTTTCAAACTTCTCATTGTTCTTTGGAAACTGCCCATACTGAAAGAAAATGCAATATGAAATGAGTTAAAAATAGATAAATTAATAATAATAGGGATGAAATTTAGAGCAATAACACAATTAAAAGCATTGTTACGTGGGTACCGGTTCGTAATGGATTGAATGTGCACAAAACCGATGACAGTTTGATAAAATTCATTTTCCCAAAAGAAATACTTTACTCTTTTTTTAAAACCTTTCACAAAAGTACTCGCACAGCTGTTCTCAGTATGATAGAGCACAATCAGCAGTTACCACTTCAAACTACTAAAAACAATGCAAAGGCACCACTTCAAACTACTAAAAACAATGCAATGACACAACGCAATTCAAAGGGCATCTGAAGAGCGAAGCTCGCACGGAGATCCACCAATACTTCGAATTCTACTCGGAATTAAACAACGGAGAACTGATGCTTTCTCCGGTCTTATACAGTTTTTCCCCAGGAGCCGAGAAATTTTTGTCCTTTCGATTTCTTGAAATTCTTGGAAGGCATACATAGTTATAGTTACATTGGGCCGGATGCAGTTACAGTTACATGGGAATCGGACCGATTACAGTTACACAGGGATCAAACAAAAATGTCGCCAAATAATCGCCAATTTTGGCAATTTCTAGCCAAGTTTGGTGACAAAAATTAGACGCCAAAACCATAGCAAATCTATTCGGATCTTAGAATTTATTCGAATGTAAATCAATTTCAGCATAATTTGCAGAGAAGGAACTTTACAATGTACACGAACCATAAACCTTTTTCTAACCTTCGCTTTTTCAAAAAAGGTCTGATTCAGATTCCCTTCATCAACTCAGACACTTCATATCACAATCCAGCACGGATTTCAGACATGTTACTGGATCCGATAATATCATGGCGGACGGGTAAATGAGATCCACCTAGCTTCAACCGAAGTTTCCTCTATGACTGTGGAGCAGGCTAAAGATACCCAGTTATCTGATCTACTTGCTAAGCCTGATACATCACTTCAGTTTCAACGTTCGCAATTTACTGTAATATTAGCACTGGAAAAGTTCGATCATACAGTTCCAGAGAAGTTACTCTACTCAGTTTTTAGAGACCTTTATTGTTTATCCCAACTAGGCGTTAGTGTCTCTCGTAAACTTATATTCAATAATGATTTGTGTGACAAAGGATGTTTAAAGGCATCGAAAATTCATTGATACACTCATAACACTTTACAATCGGCTCTTGTTGTTTCTCAAAGATTCAAGCACGTTCACCTCAAAATCCTGGGATCCTTGCCTACATCTGAGGGATATACACACCTTGAAACATTTATAGGTCGTTCTTCTCTCTGGCCTGAAGCGATACATGTGCAGCATATTACGGCAGCGCATTTGTTATACACTGAATAGCAATATTCGGAGTCCCAAAAATTATAACTACGGATCAAGGATGAAAATTCGAGATACATTTAATTTTTCCACAGAACAAGATTTTAGGAATTCGCTGCATTCGAACTTCCTTATATCACCCAATCAGCAATAAACTGTTTAAAAGATTTCACCGGACCCTTAAGCTATCCTTAAAATATCATCATAACACACGCTAGGTAGACCCATTCTTCTTTGTCTCCACTCAGCTTTTAAAGATGACCTTGGTGGTATTAGTTCTGAGATGCCGTACGGAACAACTTTGCCATTACTAGGACAATTCTTACAGTCATCCAACCACCTGTTGCAGACAGATTTTACTAGTTTTCTTCCAGCACCTGTGCAACACCATGCGGGATTTATCTCCTGCTTCTATTTCTGCACATACTAAACCTTTCTATTTTGCACCTCCTTTTTAGAGACTTGTTCTCGTGTTTTTGTAAGCACAGTAAAAGCACCATTGACGCAGCTGTATAATGGTCCCTATCACCTTATCAAACGTTATAATATAAACTTCCTTTCAAAACAAAAATTCTGATCAATGGAAAAGAGTTTGTTATCGAAACTGACCCTTTGAAGCAAGTCTTCACTACTCAGTACGACGTATCACCGATGCCAACTATTCCTAGTGACAGTTTACCAAAGACTCCCGTTATTCCTATTGACAGTTCACCAACAGCACCAGTTATTCCTAATGATAGTTCAACGACTCTGATCATTAGCTCAGCGGAATTATCAAGCGAAGTATCAACTTGAAGAAAGCCTTTGAAGAAAATTGCTCGTCTTGGTACAACAAGTGAGATCTAATCCTCGCTACGTATCATGTGTCAGTAACTACAGTACTTGGGGGTGGGTAGTGTGGCTGCTTAACCAACTGAACTTTTGAACTATTATTTCCTTTTTCACTGTTAATTTAACTACATTATTTCATATATAAAAAACCTCTTTTAATTATAAAGAAATTGTATGTATGTAACTGTAACCGTACCTATATATCAGTTAGGAATGCAGTTCTGCTCGTGTTTGTGTGCAGATGCCTGCATCCTTGTAACTTGTTTTTGTTAAATATAAAACTCGTTATGTAGTGATGAAGGCTACTGACTTATTTTGCTAAGCGAATCGCTTCTCCTTCAATATAACGAACATGTATTATGACCTAGAACTCTATAGTGGTGTACCCGATATAGCACAAATATGTAAATTTAGTTACTTATTTAAACCCTCAGAGAATTAAAAAAATATGCAAAAATATCTGGCAGAACTTTTTGTATCTGAAGAAGATGGACTCGTGCTTGATCGCTCTCGTAATGGATAGTTTTATTTAAACTCTATTCCGAAAAAAAAATTGCTGATTTGCGTAATTTTAAGTTTTACACTGGATTGTTCTTCTTCCATTTTGATTAAATAGTTATTTTTTTAAATAGTGATATATTTATCAAAAATAATATAATATTAATAAGTAGTTGTACGAGTGAAATCGTATGCCTGTACAGTAAATAAAATATTTATAGAGACAGCTTCTTTATTCCACAAAGGTTTTTAAAGTTGAGAAAGAAAAAGTATTGTGTTTACAATATTTAATATGTTTCAGAAATAGTAGAACGACTTTGATGTATGGTCTTGTTATTGTAAAAGTAATTCTTTGTTAATGTAATGCTTTTAAAATAACTGTCCTCGTTCGAAGGGCGTTTTTCAAAATGTTTGCTATATTTTTGAATTTATGTGATTTTTTAATGAATTGTACTCAAATTTAAATGTTATCACTGTAAAAGAGATAAAAAATCATTATTTTGAGAAATGTAGGCAAAAAACTAAAAATTTTATATCGAAATTAATAAAAACATTAACCATCACTGACAGGAAAATATTGTCGATGAAAATTTATTTTTGGCTTTATTACCCAGAAATATGCATTGAACTAGAATAACTTGAAAATATTGATTCACTAGCAAAATGGTCAAATATGTCAGTACACAAATTAAAAAAAAAATACACGCGCTGTTGAAGAAAAAATGATGTAACTTAAATTCTATGGGATTAATTTTTTAACTTCTAGTCTACATTATGCATAATAATGTAATAAACGTGTGTGCAAAACTTCAAGTGATTCTATAATGAACGTTTAGAGTTATCATGGTTGCTGTGAACATAAATCATGAAAAAAAAAAAAAAAACTATTCGAAAATTCCGTTTAAAGCTTTCAGATTGTTACATGACATTATATACACAAATATTCACTAAAAATGCTCCTGCGTTATATGTGACAAAGTCAGAGTATAATATTTAAAAGAATAGAAACATCAACATTATGGTTGCCTTTTAATTCATCAAAATCACTTTTTTCATTTGCAATAAACGTTCCAGATAATTTCACAGACAGATGTTTCAGTTTCATTGTGATTACGAGAATCAGAATTTTCGCTTTTTTGAATGACTTTGTATAAATTTTGGCATTCTCGAGCTTTCGATTATTAAACACAATAAATAAAAGTGCAGAAAAATGAATCTTTAGCATATAAATTAGCGCAGGAAATTTGTACACAGAACAGAAATACCGAAAGCTCAATGTAAACAAAACAATAAGTTTGAAATGTTGTTGGCAAACGTAAAAGAGAAAATACATAATGAAAATACTTTGCCAGATTCTCCAAACATATCAAAAGGCTTAAAATTATTTAATTTATAAATAACACAGAAAAAAGTGGAAATTGCACCTTTAATTTGCCCTTTAACTTCCGGTTTGTCAGACAGTTACTTCTGGTTTGTTGTATCTCAGAAAAACCGGTATATCTCCACTTCTAATCAACATATCAAGAAGAGAAAAGCTGTTTTCGATAGCTAAGAATATGGCCTTAAAGATATTAAATTAAAAAAAAATGAGTTTTTCAATCGAAATCGGCCTTTTGAACGAGGTCGGCTACCTTAAATAAGTGATATTTTTTGTTATACATAAAGGTATGCTTGAGCTATATATAATAAAACTTTTCTGTTTATGTCAGGTCCATACTTACCTATTATTATTATAATGATGACAAATCCAATTCCTATAAGGATTGCAAGCATCTATGAATAAAAGAAATGTACATAAGAAACACCTTATGCAATTTACAAAATAGTAAAATCTTTAAATATGTGATCTTTAAGAAATTTACTTTCATTTCATAAGAGTTTAAACGTTAAAGACAATCACCTACCTGAAAAAATACTATTATTTTCGCTTTGGAAATTCACTCAATCATTGCATGACATGAAGACGATGAAGTTGAAAACAAAGTTAAATAACTTTCAATGAATGTAAATGAGCTAATTTACATTAGAAATTATTATTTTTACCTAGGTTAAAGCAGGAAAATTTAGGTGATTTATGAAGTCTAAGCATATTTGTAAAATACGATTATAACTTAAAATTTGCTATTGGATTTTTTAATAGTTTATTTTTATTGCGTTAAATTATTAAACTGAGGCATATGTTAGAAAAAAGGAAACACAGAAGTCCTCTGTTGCCCAGCGTTGTTGGTCCGAAAATTTCTATTTTTCCGCAGCCAAAACTATTCAAAAAACATCTTCCATTGGTAAGTTAGATTTTCTAGAGGCGTTTCACATTAAAAAATGTCTTTATTCTAGTTAACGACCCTAATTCCAATCCGTCTTTACCTTCAGCTTTCGAGGGAATTATGTTTTAGTTTTCTTGTTTCATCAATAGATGGCGTCAATAGCTTAACTCCTATCCAGCCATTCTTATCTTATCTTATCACTATATCTTATCTCGTTCATTTGCTCCTTGGCAGCTGAGGATGATGGTTGCATAAAAACATCGAAACTAGTCCTGTAAAAATTGGCAAATATAATGCTGATGTTTGTTGTTTAACTTCTAGATTAATATGGAACTGCTATTAGCTTTTGACAGCTATGTTATGAGATAAAAACAATTTGCTTGTTTCTGATAATATTCGATTCTGATAAGTTCAAATTAATTAATTACACCGAAGCTTAATACAGTTTTTCTTGAATCAAACTTCGTGTTATACCAAAACGTGTTATTCATGTGATCAAAGTTACTTTTAGAAATGATACATTACTTTACAATTTTTCCACCAAAATTTGCGCTTCAATTTTCCAGCTTGTTTTCCAAACTCTGATGCTTCGTCGTTTAAGGCGTCTGAAATAAGAAAAACATGTACGAAACATATAACATCAGATGTTTAGAATTTTAGTACACATCTATTTTATAGTAAGCAGTAAATTCCATAATTAATGCAATATTTTGAGTGTCAAGTTTTGTAAAAATCGCAGGGATAGTTTCTAAAATATTAGTTCTCAAAATTTTATCTCCTCAATATTAATTGAATTTGGCATATATTTATTAATATCTCTTTTTTATTAAAATTGGTTGATTCCTTTTTTCACACTTCGAAATTTAGGTACAATCCAAACAAAATTCGCAGCTATTTTCTGATTTGTTTTTAAAATTTGTATTTTTAACAAATTTTTCGAAAACATTTTTGAATTACAATCTATTAAATCTTTACAATCATAAAGCAGATGTATTGCTAGGCATACCAGCAAAAAATTAGAGTTTTATATTCAAAATTTCCAAAAATTTAAGTGAATTTATATATCGATGCGTTCTGAAATTGACCATATTTGTTACAAGCGATAATGGCGCCAAATATGCTTTAGACTTTGTTAAAATTATTTGAAAGTATGAACGATGTACCTTTTTTTTTTTTTTGGCGAAAGAAAAATAGTTGGTATAAATTAAGGGCTTCTCTAAGTGGTGCCAATTGAAAAAAGTGCGCCAAGATAAATTTTTAGCTTTCTCGGTACATTTCTCACCAAACTTTATAAAATTCAGTATTTGGACATAATTTGAGTCGTAGAATGGAAATATGAAAGAAAATCGTCATGCCATTTCAGTCTACATTAAGTCGGATTTTGTGTAAAAATACCTATATTAGAACAATGCTATATATACATCTGATATATATCCTAATTCGCGCTTTTAAGACACCAAAAGCAAAAGTTAAATTTCTTCAATCAGCCCAGTAGAAGAGGAAATATAGAACTGATCTTTTTTTTGTGTGTGTGCAAGGTATACATGCCGTACATAATTTTCACAATGGAAGATAAAAGCAAACGGCTATATTTCTTTTGTCCATTACTAATACAATATAGTAGTTAATTAAATTCTTCTTGTGAGATACAAGATGTCTTGCCGTTATCTAACATGCCTCAAGTTTATATTTTTTAGATTCCAGAATTTAAATACATATTATTTGAAAAATATAGCAAAAACCTTCTTATATTATTCTGAGATACAACATCAGAAGAATTTCATAAATGTTTTTTTCCACTCGTGTGCAAAATTAAGAAAATTCGCACATCATATCTAATTTCTAAAACAATGGAGAGATTTTAATGAAATGTGGTACGAATGTACATTTATAACAGAGAAAGAAGTGTGCCGTTCAAAAATCATTTTATATGCGCATGATTAATCGAGAAAGTGCATATTTAACAACCTAGAAGTTACAGAGTATTTTATTTTAATAATTTTATTAAATTATTTCTTTTTGAATAAGGAAACTTAAACATCAAATCAAATTATTCTTATATTAGTAAGGTTACTAACTTCAAAGGAAAGCTAGCCCAGGTGTGAAGCTTATTTTAAGAATCTATATCATTTAGAAAGAATGTCTGAGGCGTAGGTGTTTTGTAACTTGATTTTGTCAGCACATTTGAAATGTACGGCATATTCATTTATTTTTGTTTTACCTATCCTATTTACGTGTTTCTGCTTTCTTTAATAATTTATGGTTTTCTTTGGATTTTATAACTTCTTAAATTTATCAGATAATTTTACATAGATATGGATTTTTAATAAGTTTAGAAAGTATTTTCTCCCTCCTCCCAACATGCTTTCGTGGTGTAATGGTAGCACATGCGGCGCGTATTCAAGAGGTCCAGGCTCGAGTCCCGACAAGGGCACTGCGCACTTTTCACCTCTTCTGCTTCGAGAAAACCTAATGACTATACAGTGGTGCCCCAACTAAAAGGTGGTGGACAATAATTCGTCACCACCAGGATTTGGCGAATGGATCGCCTAATTCAGTAACTCTTTAGAAGGGGGAATATATAAGGTACCTTCATCCTTCCTGCATGCCTTCTTGATGTAACGGTAGCACACTCGCCGCATATTCGAAGGGTCCAAGTTCGAATCTCATGTGGGCATTGCACATTTTTCGCCTCTCCTGCTTAAGAAAAAAAAAAAAAAAACTAATGACTCTACGAGTTCATTTCTTTTGATTCTTTGTTGTTACAGCGTATAGGTAAATTTTCTTATCTGTAGAATTTCCGCATTCTCAAATGTATTCTAAGAGTTCTTATCTTGTTGGAGAGAGTTGGTCTTTCACTTTGATCGATGTATGCATGATAAGGCTCCGGTTTTCTTTTCATTATAAGAATTTGGTTTCACCCTGTTTTTTAGCTTCTCAGAAGCACGCCATGAATCTTAGCGCTTTATACGTAAATTACAATCTTGTGATTACAGTTTACGTTGATTATTGGACTTGATATTCTTTTATAAAAGAACAGACAGGCGAGATTATTTCCCGCAAATTTCAGTTTCACTCACTAAACGCTTATCGTAATTTAAGCAAATATTTGACATTTTGCTAGAAGGTATGTCTTTAGAGCAGTTAAGAGAAGTAAGAAAATGAAAAGTGTAAAACACTTAACATTACTTACATTTCCCATTCAATTATTGATTTACAATAGAATGTTACGAATCGAATTTTAAACCTGACTTTTATTATCACTGTCTAAACAAGCCTGTTGTATAACATGTAATTAATCTTATCTTAGAGTCTAACATATAGTGCATACACACTCTTAGACAACAACAACAACTACAACAACAACAACAAAAAAAAAAAAAAAAAAAAAAAGAAAGACGCACCAAGAAGGAGCTATCTGAATGGGACGAAAATCGGTAGAAGTCATGTACATGTACAGAAAAACAATGATTACAGTTTGAGAAAAATTGGATGATTTATTGAAGTGATAGAGCTTCACAAATTGAAAAAGTCAGTAACGCGTTTGTCCTTCTCTGCCCCTTATTCAAGCAGTTATTCGGCTTGGCATCGATTGATAGAGGTTGCGCATGTCCTCCTGAGGGATATCATGCCAAATTCTGTCCAACTGGCGCGTTAGATCGTCAACATCCCGAGCTGGTTGGAGGGCCCTGCCCATAAAGCTCCAAACGTGCTCAATAGGAGAGAGATCCGGCGACCTTGCTGACCAAGGTAATGTTCGGCAAGCACTAAGGCAAGCAGTAGGAACATGTGAAGTGTGGGGGCGGGCATTATCTTGCTGAAAAGTAAGCCCAGGGTGGCTGACATGAAGGGCAACACAACGGGCCTTAGAACTTCGTCGACGTACCGCTGTGCTGTAAGGTTGCGCCGGATGATAACCAAAGGTGTCCTACTATGAAATGAAATGGCACCCCAGATCATCACTCCTGGTTGTCGGCCTGTCTGCCGGAAGACAGTCAGGTTGGTATCACACCGCTGTCCGGGGCGTCTCCAGACTCGCTTTCGCTGGTCATCAAGTCTCAGTTCAAAGCGGGACTCATCACTGAAGACTATTCTACTTCAGTCAGTGACATTCCAGTGCGAATGAGCCCGACACCACTGCAAACGGGCTTGACGTTGTACAGAGGTCAATGGTAGTCGGGACCTCAGCCCCCTTTCTGTGAGCCGTCTATGAATGATCCTTGCGGTTACTGAAGCATTAGTTTCACGTAGAATCGATGATAATGATGCATCTGGGGCTGTGAGTGCCGCTCTGACGATTGCTCGGTCTTCATGTTCTGTCGTTTCTCTAGACCTACCGCTTCCTTCTTGACGCTGTGTGCGGCCATGACCAACATCGTCTAATAGTGGCATCGCTCCTGCTCAAATGTCGAGCTATTCGCCGATAAGACAAATCGGCTTTTTTGAGCGAAACTACGCGACCGCTCTCAAATTCTGACATCTGCGCATATCGTTCGCGCAACCTGTATGCGAGGCATAGTTACTGTCTACCAGAGTATACGGAATGAAATTCGTGAAGAATTTATGATCTGGAATCGTAATTTCTCCTCTTAAATATCCTGCCAGTTGCGCAGATCAGATGCGCTGTAGCGACAATCGTTCAGCCAAAATATTCATTGGCAGCCAAAGTGTAAAATTTTGCATTTTCCGTCGAAACCTGCAAGCGTATCAATTTGTGTCCAATATTATTTATATCTTCTCGGTGATTCGTTTTTTTTGGTCCGAGCGTGTATTATGATCTTTCATAAGAACTTTTAAAAAATTTAATTTATCTATTGATGTATGTAATGTTGTTATGTTTGTTACACATATTAGAGTTATCTATTAAATTTACATCAAAACTGGTATACCTAACGGATTTTTCCAGTCTTACTGAACTAAGGTTTCATACAACACTTTCATGAAAAATTTGTCGTAATAATACTGTTTATGTAATTTGCTTGATAGTAAAAGTGCACACAAGTTTTAGCATGTTTTGGAGTTTACCAAATGCAGGAATATACCGATATATTTTGCAGATACTAGATTAACCTAATAATTATTTCTTACAGTTCCTGGGTTTCCATTTTAAGTTATTAACGCAAGCGAATAATTGTATGTGCGATAATGTGTGCAGACTAAAAACAGTTTACAATATACAGCATTCTTCTTCAGTAAAAGTAACAAAAGTACCACAGAAGGTTATTTAGATAAAGGAGAATATTGCTTTCTTACCTGCTCGTCCATCGAGGTCTGTAAGCTTCTCATCTCTTTGAAGAATAAGGTCAACATTTTTTTTCAGTATGCCAGTTACCTGTAAATGAAAATATTATGACTTTTCTTTTTTAATGAAAGTGCTAAACTTGCTTGTAACAACAGCTAGTAACTCTTCCGGCATAATTCACTTTCTGATGTTACAGTAGAGACGCATTAAACGATTTTTAAAACAAGAAATTTTAAGACTAGGATAATTTTCTTTTATTGGAATCTTTCTCATCTTTGCCGAAGAGTGCCGAACTTTTCCCAGCATTTTTTCGTTATGCTACTGCAATGCATTTTGGCGGTACTATTTTCATAAAATGTATGTGTGTTTAATTATTCTTGTTTACACACATACACACATAATCTCTAGATAATATTATCATTGGGTCTCGGCAAATGTTTTCTCTTTCACAAGAGCTAAAAAACGGGGCAGGTGCATAACAGAAAAGTACCCCTTTCACGGTGAAATCAAAGTTCCATAGATCTTGAAAGACATTAATCTGTGACAATAATTTAGAAGTTATCTGGTTTATGACATTAGTCTGTAACAATAATTTAGAAGTTATCCGGTTTATGACATTAATCTGTAACAATAATTTAGAAGTTATCCGGTTTATGACATTAATCTGTAACAATAATTTAGAAGTTATCTGGTTTATGACATTAACCTTTTGAGGCCGGGGCTTTGGTAGCAGTAAAAGCTGCCAAAGGACGGGGAATCTTGAACCGAATGCTTTCCTCCCTTTAAGAAATCGCCTCCTATTTGCAACAAAGATTCTTGTGTGTAGTTTAATGGATTCTCAGAGGGGTGCATCTATGTAGCAAAAGAAAGCCCTTTGAAAGAGATAAGTGGTTAAAACCCCAGGGAAGTTAAATTTGACATTTCACACCACTTTTCAGCCTGGAAAATGGGGGAAAAAGACATGGCCACTAAAGTGGTCAACCCCGTCTTTTCAAAGAGAGGACTCTATGGCCACTATAATGGCCATCCCGTCTTCAAAAGGTTAATCTGTAACAATAATTTAGAAGTTATCTGTTTATGACTTTAATCTGTAACAATAATTTAGAAGTTATCCGGTTTATGAAATTAATCTCTAGCAATAATTTAGAATTTATCGGATTATTCCTTTATGACATAGATGCATTGGGCAATGGATTAGAACAACAGATATAGATCTCAAAACACCAAATCTTCTTTCCAAAGACCCAGAACCAGTACTGATTTGAGAAACATTCCTTAACAGAATTTAAGATTATATAATATAATATACACTATAAGTTTGAATTTGTAACATAATAGTTTGAAAATAACTTAATATCTCAACATCATTAATATAACGTCTCTGGTTAATATCATTTTGAGAGACGTGCTTACTTCTTCGATCTGAGCATGGGTCTCTTGCATTCTTTTGTGGGCCACTTTATGTTGTACATTTTCTGTTTGCTGAGGAAAATTTTGCTCCTCATCCTCCATGCCTCCGAAAGTCCCCGTTCCTGACCTGTGAGACAAAAAAAATAAGAAAATTTATGCAGTGCTGATATATATCATGTGTATAGAAAATTTAACAAATTCCCTTAATTATCATTCAGTTTCAGAAGTAGATTTTGACTAAATGCATAACGTAAGTACGTGAAAATGTGAAATAGATAATAAAACAAAATTCGAAATTCAAAATTCGGGCTCCCAGGTGCCCATGTTTGGGCCCATACCCATACCTACATTCATGCACATACACCTTTAGTTAATTTCTTTTAAAATAATGCAGGTCGATAATATTTGTGGGCAGATTCAGCCTTTTACAGTGATTCAACGCAAAATCCTGTTTCGAGACTAATAGCTCTTCTGAGCTAACGCTCTTTTTATAACAACAATGTAACATATGTTCCAGTCAATTAAGTAGATAAAATGTAATGGATTTTTTTAACAAAGAAAAACGGTGTTTTTGACATTACCAGAAAATTTTGCATAGCAATTACATTTCGAAATAAAAGTTGACAACTAATAGCCTATACAAGGGTTGGCCAAATTTTATGTCAGTAAGAGCCGCACGTTTCAGGAATTTGAAATTCATCTAGGTTTTTTCAAAAGCCACTAGTTTAGTTACTCTTAGTTCAGAAGTTTTACATCATTATAGAAGTAGTGGAGGAGGTTTTAAATAGAAAGAAATCCCTGATAAATTTGTAAAAAGAGTCTGAACTAATTAATTACTTCTTTTGGACACTGAATAGTTTTAGTTTACCATATTTCATACATATATTTTATATGCACGAGCCGCACAAATTGACTGCGAGAGCCGTATCAGGCTCGCCAGCTACACTTTGGCCACCCCTGGCCTATACATTGCGAAAGATAAAATTGTTTAAACTTTTTCATAAAGTATTTTGTGAATATTTGACATATATTTTAGCAGTTTTATTAATGACAATTATATATGGGAAAATATTATTTTTATCTTATCATATTTTATATATTTGAGCCACATCCACATTCGTCAAAAATTTAATATGCCTATTGTTGGAATATAAGGAAGTTAAAGATTTTATATGTATATAAATTGAGAATTTTGATTACATTTTGATGCAATTATTATGAAAAGCAAGATCTGTTATAAATTATAATACAATATATGAATTACAAGTTTAATTTAAATTAATAATGATATATTAAATTAATTAATTATAAAAATATTAATAAGTTAATCAATTTTGTAAGTTATCAGTTATAAAAATATATTTGATTAATGAATTAATATTAATCAAATTATATTAATATAAACTACAAAATTAATAATAATTATTAAACTATATTTGACTTAAATTATGTACAATTTCGACAATGTTTGATTTAATGTCCTTAAATAACTCACTATTCATATATTTACCCTATATAGCCTATAACCATTTTTCGTGTCACAGCATCAGTCACCCAAGCAGCCTTACCGATTAACAGCTGTCTGTTGTTTTCTCTGGGCTTAAGGCATATTGTTCAATTTTCAGATTATAACATTATTGTGAAAGCAAATTGCGAAATTTCAGAATAATTTAATTCTTAAAAAAATATTTTTTATTTATTTTTAACCTTTCAAATTATAGTAACAGTAATGATTTGTGTACAGCGACAGTTTAAAACGCGTGGTTCCTCATAAACTTGGAATTATTTCTCTAAATTTACTGGAAGATAATTAAAAAAATTGCAAATTTTTTGAAATTCTTAGTGAGCGTTTCAAGGTCAGTAAAGACTATGAAGGTCAGGAAAGATTCTCAAGTAAAAGAAAACACATTCATTTGGTTGTATCTACGCATTACAACAAAGGCACATTTCGACGAATTTTTGAAAGATAATTAATGCATTTTATTCAGTGCATATACACGTATACTCGGCCTTCTGCAGCCACATTGAAGTAAAATGAAAGAAAGCGTTGAAGTTACGGTTAGCTAAAATTTTTAATTAGTAACCTTAATTCTAGTTGTTTTTAAAATTAAGAAGCATTGATGTTTACTTCTTATTAGCTTAATTAAATAGATGTATCATAAAGTAAGCAATGTGTAAGATGTATCATAATGTATTGTACAATATTCACAAGAAAACGATTAATATAGGCAAGATGCACATCAGAATGATTATATGTTTACTGATTTGTGACAGAAAAGAGAAATTATAAAATTCAGAGAAAGCTGTTATAAAACGTTATTTTACGTTTTATGCATAGAGTTACAGATAATTAAATTTGATTGAAAATTTTGAATCAGGCACTCGGCGACATGTAGTCATTACTGTCTGTTATTCAAGCATGGTCTGTAGGACAAGCCTGTAATAATTATACTGAATTACCATAAGAACAAAAGACCCGCAATACTAAGAAATCTGAGAATATAAAATCACATCTTCAGGCCAGTTGGAAGATACAGTTTTAACTTCAAAAGCCAGAAAATAAGTTAATGATTTCTAAGATGTTTTCTTAGAAAGTGTTGTTATTGAATTATATTACTCTTAACTTAAAGTTGTGAATTTTATTTGCTATAGGCTTTTGTTTTAACTTTTTTACATTTACTTAAGTATTTGAGTTAGCAGCAGTATATAAACAGCAAATTAAAATTGCTAAGTAAGGAAATATAAGAACTTATTAGAATTACATATAAGAATTAATAAGAATTATATAGATTATATTATTATTATATTATATTATATATGTTATTTCTATTATCATATTATATATTAAGAATTAGAATCATGAATATTTTTTGTTGAGACAAAAAAAAGGTATTGCAAAAATATTTCAAGTGCTTCTATGAATTAAAATACTATCTCACACTCATATATTTTTAAATAAAAATTGCTTTTATGTGTTGCACAGTATTTTTACACAGAATCACGATTTTTAATAAATATTGTGCACTAAATGAGCCATAATTGTTCAATATGAAAAGCTACGATACATGCGTTCTAGGAAAACTGTATGCTTGCATACAGTTTTCCTAGAACGTTTTTTCCTAGAATGCAAAATAAATTTAAAATAATAATAATAAAAACTAAGCTTTCCGTTTTCTACTTTATGCTGATTTTAATTAGATAATTACCGTTATAATTATTTATTCCATTTTACGGGAATTGATATTATGGGGCTTAAATGATAATTCTAATAAGAATAATTTCAGTGAATTACGGTTTTTATACAATGCTTTGATTTCTGTATATTTTAGTTTTTTATTTCCTTGGTGAATAAAGAAAGGTTTTCCCAATTTTCTTTAATGATGTAAATTTAATTCGCTTTCCAATTTTATTTATGATTTCCTTGGGACACATTCTAATCTTGATTTGTGAGAGAATTTAAATTTCACGTAGAAAAATGTATTTAAATATAAGCCTTTATGAAAGTACTCTCACTATAAATACATAAAATGCAAATACGCCAATAATAGCTATACTATTTTGTTTACAATTAAGTACTAAATATATAAATATACTGTCTCGTTTTTAGAAATAAATATTATGATTTTACTTTATTATTATATTTTCCATATTTGTTAAGATGTTTTGCATACTAAATTGGAAAAATTTACAAACATAAATTATTGCATTAAATCACTGATTTTCCCCCTGTGTTTCATGGAATTCAAAGATTCCATTTCAGAGTTTCGAAAGTCAAATTCAAAAGAATTAAAAATGTGGACTGCAAAACTAAAACTATAACAATTCATTAAATAATATATTTTTGAATCAATTATTATTGTAAAGTAGTATGAAATAAATCGGTTTTTATGAGTCAAATTGTAATGAAATAATAACTTTCTTTTTATTTTAAATATAAAGCGTAGACAGTTTGTCTCAGTCTCAAAGATGTTTTTATATTTAAGATTCTGAAGATACAGGAGTTCCAAAAAATTATAGTTTTATATGTTCTATGAATGGATAAAGTTTGGTAATTCCTACATAATTTTCAAGAAAAATTTACTAATTGTTTTTAATTACTTTGTTTTCACTTTCATTAAAGAGGAATAATATTAATTAAAATCTCAAAGTTTACTATCTATTAAATGCATGAAGAGTTTCTCCGAAGATTATGAATAAACGTAAGGAACTAATAATGCAATAAATTGAAAATCTTAAGATTTTACCTTTAGGCTGAAAGATAGCTTAAAACACTTTGTATCTACTTAACATATCTAAAGAAAACACAAATACAGAAAATATTCTAAGCCTTTAAAAGAACTAAAAAGAAATAGATAGTTTAAATTATACTATTTAGTTCATAGATAAATTATATTTAATTTGATTACATTATTAATATTGCTACAACAGGATTACTTCAAATTTAAAAAATCTCTTCGTTGATTATTTAACTGTAATTTAGTTTCATGTTAAAAATAAATGAAGTTTCTCTTAAGAAAAGGAAAAAATGAAAAATGCAAAAGTTAAAACAATCACTGTATTTAACGACTTCAATAAAAAGTTTTTTATGAACATCTTCAATAAATTTTATGTATTTTTCATTTTTGTTAAACGATTTCGTCAAAAATTATACATTGCATAAAATAAAACATTCCTGTCACAAAAAAGTTTACATATTATGAGAAAATTAATTAAAATCACTATTTATAGACGTCATCTATAACCTGCGACACATATTAACCATGAGTAAATTCAAAAATCGCATAAGTGTTCAACGATATATACTAATTTTAAAGACTTATAATTAATCAATTTAAAATCATTCTTCTTTTAAAAAAATTCAATCATTATTGAAGAGAACTGTGAACTTCGACCTTTCTCCATAATAGTTTGAAGTTTCGTACTTTAAATTAAAGCGAATAAAATTTTGCTCTACGTATGTCCACACTTGTTGGCTTTCCGACTGATTTCCTCCATTAGCCATACTGTGAAAGAAATTTCAAATTCAACAATGAATACACGAATTAATCGTGTGATATAAATATTCCTTAAGGCTTTAAGGTCAACAACGGACGTTCCCATAAGTGAGCTGAATTTTGTTGGAATCATTAGGCCTAACACATTTAATAAAGATCTGAATGAGTTAATTAAATATTTTCCAAAATAACAATTACTAAATAACAATTCTTTTCTAACCATTTCCAAAGATCACTCCCAAGAGGCGAATAAAAGGTTCGGAGGTGAGAGTTCTCAATAGCCTGTTACTTCACAGCTTTGGATCGATAAAGAAGGAACAATAAGGAATTTCACAGAATATGCTTAAAAACACTGAAGTACATTCAAACTAATAGGTTTGTTGTTACTTACATATTATGAAGGTTCTGTTGAAGGGGTATGTAAGTATTTTAGGCGAGCTTTCCCCCAAATCCAAAACGATGAAGGCGAAAATGGACGGTGCTTTGAAGATTCCAAAAGGGAAGGCAAAGGGAGACAGGCTAGGAGAAGAGGGAGCGATTTGTATACACGGATGGAGAGATGAATTGGAATCCATGCGCACATATCGACTCCGTGTGTCCAAAAAGGCTTTCTTACGAACAGCCAAGTGAGTTTGGATCTATTCTGGAAATTCTTTGACTAATTAAAATATAAACTTACAAAATCTTATATTGTATTTAAGTACACGCATTTAGTTAAACAAATGGAACCAGGATTTCTCTCATAAGCTCGTTATTTAAGTATTAGGAGTGAAAATTTTATACAGATTGATATAACTGAATTCATGTAATTGAATTTTAAAGTATTCGAGTAGATGAGGTACAGTGATCAAGCTGATTGGTTGATTTTAAGCCAGCGAATTTGAATAAAATATCGTTCGAATTCAACAAGAGCTGATTCAGTATGGAAAAGAAACTGAAAAGTAACAGAAAATTGCAGTTCAATCTTTCAAATTCCATATTGATGGCAAGAAACTGTCACAAATTGACATCTTTAAAATTAAACACATAATAAAACTCATCAAAAAATCAAAGTTGGGTTTCTTCTACAATGAGAAATTTATGCTCTTTTCTGTACAGTGTTGCCATTGCTCACTTTGAAATCGTTTAGTTTGTTAATAAAAAATTCGTTGAAGTATTACAAAATATGAAATCGATAATAAAACAAATTTCAAATTCGAATTAGGGCTTCCCCATGCCCGTATTCTATGGAAGATTACGTTATTCAAATTTTGATGGCTCTAGGTACCGTTGTTTTATCACAGTGCGAGAAATATACATACATTCATGCAGATTCGTCATTATTTAATTTCTTTAAATATAATACGAGACGATAATACTTGCTGGCAACAATTTGAAAAGTGAAACAACGTTTATCGTGAATCGACGCAAAATGCCAAAACGAAATTAATAGTTGTTCCGGGCGAATTGCCCCTTTGGACTAAAAATGTTAAAAACCAAAATCTGGAAACTTCAGATTGCAGTCTAAAAGTTGGATGACTTTACTCTTAAAGTTTCAAAAATTAAAAAAAAATTTAATAAGGTAAAAATTGTAAGAAGCATGAGATTTTAAAGAAACTGCAATTCCATCATCTTAGAATATAAATTTCAGCTTAACACTTGAAATAATTTAAAGCAGTTGTGATAGGCCTGAAGGTTTAAAAATTAACTCTTCCAGAAATTAAATATATAAAACCGAATTATTATATGTTATATATTAATACATATAATATATATAAAATACAAAAAAAAAAAAAAAAAAAAAAAAAAAGGAAATTTAAAACTAATTTTTCACAAAGACAAAAAAAATTTAAATTAATAATAGATACATTTTAAAAAGTCCTTTAAATTTTTTGTGTTTCTGTAATATATAAAACATGTATATATATATATAGTCATCCAGAAATTAAATACTTTAAACTCTTGCCTGAATGAATTCTTAATTCATGTCTACAAGAATTCCATAATAGAGCTCTGGAATATTTCAGAACGGCAGTTCGGCTTAAAGAGCTACAACTATATTCTTTCAAATCGCAACTATAACCTTTTAAAAAAAGCAAAACAGTTTTGAATAAAAATAAATGTCGGAAGTAATTTAATAATAATAACTCATTTTTAATTAATGTAGTTATTTATTAACGTAAATAAATAAGTATTATTCCTATTAAATATTACATTGATTATGTTTCTGCGATACACAAATTGTAAATTTTTGTACGATACACTGGACTACTTTCTCAGAAAGGAAAACCAGGCAATTTTTTTTCATTGCCCAATTTTTTCCTGCTCACAATTGCCAACTGAAAAGGATTGGATTGGATTATTCAATTATGGCAAAGCACACGAGGACTATCTGCCTAAAGGGAGGGATGCCTTCGTGGAGGACTTTCCAAGGGAAACTAACTCGTATACACGTTACACATGGAGAAAACCACGAAAATGCCCATGCAGCCAGCCCGTTCGCCGGATTCGAACCTCGGACCGAACTACTTAGTTCCTCGAATTTCATTAGACATATATTTCTCATTCAATGAATGCAGTTCTCACTTCGCGGCTAGACAAAAATACATAAAAACTCAAAACATCTTCATTAAAAATTGTAAAATATAGGAAAACATAAAAACACCAAATACAGTTAGAGAAAAACAATTTTTACAATTAAAATTAGAGTTCCCACGCAAAAACAAACAATTCGGCCAGCGGCAAAGAAGGCAGATTTTTCGGTACACAAAACTGAAAATTTACTTTTCGGCTCATTCGCCCAAAAAGACATTGAAGGTGCAGAAACTCACTTAATTCACTATTCCTCTGGTTTCAAATGTAAACAAATGGCGTTTCGTTAGGCTTAACTTGCCAATTAAAGTTTTAAATTGTTGATCATTCTACAACTATTGCCCGGAGAATAACTAAAGGCATAAAAATCTTAACCGGAACATAAAAGCCACATAATTCAATCACATTTTAAAGCAAAAAATGCACAATTTGCCAACATAAAAGAATAAAAAACTAAGCTCATTGAGCGAGGTAACAGAGCGGGAATATATATATACTGAATGCAAAAAATCGCATATATTTATATACGATTGGTGCAGCCGATTGCAACAAAAATGGGAGGTGCACAACTACATCTTATAGCAGTCCCATGTACAAAATTTCAACATTCAACGGCTACTCGTTCTTGATTTGTGCGAGATGCATACATACATACATACGTCAAGAAAAAATCTCTTTTGAATACAGTTTAAATCCATTTTACATTCCTTTTTGTAAAAAAAAAAAATAAATGTCACTTATGTTGTCCATACATGCAGATATCACTAAAATCATCCTTCAAATGTCTTCGAGAGCAGTTGAAATGGATATTTTCTTTGAAATATGATACGCGAAATTTTTCGCGATTGCATTACTTCCTTTACTTCGTACATAGAAGTAAAAAATGTGAAAATTAGCGCATGCTACGAAGAAATTACAGTTAAGGATACGCAAGTTACTTTAAAATAAGTTCTAAGCTTACCGGTATGTTTAACCAAATTAAAAGTTTAGTTTTTATCACTCAACTAATGTGGGGACCAACATATGAAAATTAAACCCAGCCTCCAGTTATTTATGTAATTCATTAAACGTGGAATGGATCACAAAGTTACATTTTTCTTCTCCAAGACAAGTTACAACCCTACATATTTACAGTGTCGTTTAGTAAGATCTGAGGTAGATCATCTATGCTGCGTGTTATCAATGTATTTGTAATTTCTCCTTTTCAAAGAGCCATTACTTATTTTAAAATAAGCATAGTCTAAATAGGAAATAATAAAAATGGAATTATTTGGTGACTAGCTCAGATGGCACAATTTGAAGTTATTTAAAAAGTGTTAAGAATGTAACTGAATTAAAAATTAAATGCTTAATATTTGATTCAAACGTAGGTTTGTTCTATAAGCCATCGCTTGCTTAAATTGGCGACTCAGAGTTAAGTAAAATTATAACAGCGAATTGTGTTTCAGTTTTGAAGCACGGTAGATAAATAAATTCAGTTACAAGCTACGTTAAATGCGTATTAGATCAAATAATGGCTTGAAATATTAACTGATATTATTAGAACTTAAAATCCAACAAGCACCATATTTTCTTATATTCTATTCCTAACTTCCCACAGAAGAAGAAAGTTAAAAAGCAGAAATCAAACCAGATACAGAAGAAATGATTTTGTGTCGTGATCACCGAGCAGTTAGTGCTGGAGAATCTTAAGCAGTTATCACAATTCCGAATGAAAAAGCGGTGTTAGATTATGAAACGAAATTAAAAACTGCTAAGTTGTATTTCGTCTTTCACATAACAACTAGATAGTCAAATTCTCGAGCTGGAAGTCTCTGAAGAAGGAGAATGAAGCTTAAAAGAAGCAGTCAAAATTTATTAGTGTCTTACGAAGACTAAGAAACGAAAGTGAAGAAAAGAAGAAAAAAAGCTCAAGAACACAAACGTTTTGACTTTATTAACGACTTGAATTTAGATCAATATTTTTTATTGAATTAACATTCATCGTGAAACTATATTAACTACTTAAGTATTTTATTTTCTGTCCCGAATTCAGTCCAAAATATGTCACATTTTTTACTGCACTTTTGGTGGATTTTACATTGTTAGCAAGAAAATGTTATTAAAATTAAGATTTTAAATATTTTTAAGCATTGAGAATAACATATCTACTGCAAATAAATAATATTTTCTCTGAAGTTGTGTTTTCTTTCTGCATGATCGCCTAACAAGGAAGTTACATTTACAGTTGTATATATAAAAATATAAATATCGTACTTTATTTTTATGTTCTATTACAATTATCACAATACTTAGCCTTTTTTTACAATTATTACATTACTTTTCACATTAATGTTTTATTTGTAATAAAACATTAATGTGAAAAGTAATGTAATACTTATAGTATTACGTTTACTTATATTATGTTTACTCCTCCCAAAGATCTGATTTGGGGTATATATCTTAAAACAAAGCGAGAAGTACAGTCAAACATCACAGTCCAGACAAAAATATAGAGTCTTTTCTAATTCTTTTGCCCACCTTGAGTAAAATACTAGACAGAGTTGTCTCTCAAAGACTAAAACACTGTAGAGGATACATTTTGAACAAAATGTAAGTGAAAAACAATATGGTTTTATTCTTGGTCGAGGATACCACACTACAACAATAGAACAAAATAACAGTTAATAACAAGCAAATTAAGCAGTACAGTCTGATCACCTTAAGAAACATACAATACTCCTTCGTGCGATGGCCTAACGTACTCAAGAGATTACAGGACAGGGAGTGCCTTAAAGGTCTTGTTTGTCCTAGTTAGTCCTAACGTATAATAATTGCTTAAAAAATCGTTGCGTGTACGTCCCAACTGTCGCAGTTGTTCACTTACCATCTATCAATACAGATTTCGCTTAAGGACCTTGCTTGGGTCTGCTATTATTTGAAT